ACATGCTCTTAAGGAAACTGGTGTAAACCTAATTTGCAGTTAAAACCCTTTGGGAAGCTGCTGTTCCTTTTTTTTAAGTGAAATGTGACTCCCCTTACCATGAGTTCTCAAAAGACAGGAGGAAGACAGTTGAATAACTGCTGAATAAAGGAAAGATGTGCGTCACATTCCTGTGTGCCTGTGGTCACAGGAAAAGTGCCCTTTAATTGTGTGGGGAATCTCACAGCAGAGATTTCATAAATGGAGCAGCCTAATCAACAGATAAATGACCACGGAAAGTACTTTCTTTTTTGCTTTTTAGGACTGACTGAAATGAAACACCCACTCCTTTTCTGCTTTCACCTTCAAAAGTCTAAAACTAACTTTCGGTCTTAGGCAAATGGAGTGATTTTTGGCCATTGAGCTGGTAGGTTAGCAAATAGTTACCGAACAAATATGTTACCCCCAAACTATTTTATTATCAGACATTAGAAAGATCAACAATATTAAATTCTGATGATGTTAACTCTGAAGTTGATTTGAAGCTACATCAGCATTGAACCTCATCTTCCCTGTGGGTGTACTGTAAAAATCTTAGAATGGGACTGATTGTTATTAGAACAGCTTGTATTTTTCTATTGCTGCACTAGTAACTTTGGCTGTTCTATAAAAACATTGCTCATTATTTTAATGCTAGCTCTGTAATTATTTCAGTACACAATTAACTACGATCAATGCCTTTCTGAGTGCTTTGTTTTTTAGAAGCGGGGAAGAAGAGGCTGAAGAATATTACTGAAACTGAATCTGTCATATGTATTTGTTTTAACTTGCACCCTAGTGATTTGAGTAGGATGGTAAACATGAATGTGGATTGTGGATCTGGGCCACGAATTCTTAACATTTTTAACTGACCTAGATTGGCTTTTTTCTTCGCTGCCATATTGCGGTAGCTCTCGTCTATGCTGTCCCGCTGGCCTTTAGAAAATTGGTAAAAGAGCGTGGCTTCACCTGTTAATGCCCATTGCGCTCCGCAAACTTCTGCTGTCTGGGGTTGTGCTGGGCTGAACCTATCAGTCTTTGTTTTCCCCTCTGCGTGTTTGTTTCACAAATGATGTCAGATGAGCTTTGGAAATACCGCTTGTGGGTTGTTGGTGTCAGAAAGCCAGAGGCGAATATAAAATGTTGGCACAATCAAGATTACTTACGTTGTTGGCTTGCCAAAGCTACAGATGCTGCAAATCAAACTCAAGTCTGATAGTCTAGAAAACCTGATACCTGATTCTTCTTCTACCCAGTATTTCTTTTTAAAAGTTATGCTCACAAAGTTGCAATGTCAGTGACATAAAGGTAGGGTGGAAGCCGTGTCTGTCCCTGCTTTTCCTCACTTGTTCCTACTGTCAGTCAGCAGTTGGAAGGAAATTGAATCACAGCCTTTTCCTTGCTAGGGGAGTTCTCTTTCATTCTCCCCCCTGCTTTCTCTCTGCATAACCCACTTTATTTCTGGAAGTTACTCCTTCATCCTCAGTTGCACGTTATTCTGCCACTGCTTGGCACTGAGTTGAGGCTCTTCCTGTTGCAATTTCATTTCCATTTTAAGGCATCACTGCAGCAGTGCCTTGCTGTTGGCGGAGGGCTTGCTGCGATTTCCACGTGAGCCTGCTTGTTCCTTTGGTCAAGTAAACTTGCTGACAAATGATACAGCATGGTGTTTCTTCAGGAAGTACTGCATAGCAAGAACAGTATAGGTACAGCATTCATAACTCCTTCTGGAGATTAGAGGAAAAAGTGGTGCCTGTTGTTTTTCCCTTCCAGTCTCTGTAGTGTTCTTGAATTCCAACAGCTTGGTCTGTAGTTCTGTCCTTAGGTAGAGTGCACCATCGGTGGCCCAGGGGGAGCAGGAGTGAATGCCTGCTTTATGCGTTTGCAGCTGTTTCCTCAGGGATGCTGAGGAAGTCCTGTTGTTACAAACAATAGCAAGAGCACAGCCCGTCTGTTTGTCCTAGCAAGGAATGGGGTGGTACCTTACCGCTGCTGTACAAGCCTCACTGGGCATGACTTCAAGGCTGGCATCCTTAGGTGATTGCCAATGCCACCCTCTGTTTGGCATCTGCATGCCACAAGGTGCAAAGTAAAGCATGAAACCTTTATTTTGGGTCAGAAATACTGCTAAAAATATGATACTGATTTGAGGTGTTTTAAAAGTAAGGAGCTAGCATGGAAATGAGGACGTAGGGGAGGAAAAAGTGATTTGGGGGGTTAATAGAGAAGGCAATGTGAAAAGAAAAAAACCTTTGATTGTACAGTGGTTTTAGTCTCAACAAATTACTGTTATTAATTTATATTTCCAGCCTAGTTGTTATTTGACTGCCATCTGTACTGGGCTTCTGTGATTTCCTTCATAGTAACCCTGTAACACATCAATTGCTGTAATGTGACAGTCATGATTCACTGACTGGTGTGCAGGTACAGGGATAATTCCTTATTTACAGTCACCGTGCTGTCAATCTATGTGTGTTGGCTATAATTAGTCTCATACTCATTAACAGGCAAGCTGTTTGCCAGCTTCAGGTAATCGTACACAACCCCATTTCTCCTGACTTTGAGTCGCCAGTCATTATCCGTTTCTATTTAGTTGAGATATTTTTCATGTTTTCTCCTAACAATCCTCTGATTCCTTTTAGTCCAGTTTTCCTTCGTTTGAAATCACTAAGAAAAAGTTGGCCTCGTCTATCGCTTCCTGCACAGCAAAGCACAAATTCAGTTCTATTTCCTATTTATGGATCTGATCTTTGTTCGTCTACATGGAGGAATGCCAGACTGTTTCCCTTCTTGTTGTAAACAGGCATGTTTTAAGAGGAAAGAGCCTTGCTAAGCTAATGGGAAGAAAGAACAGGGGCAAATGGAAATTAAATAGGCAAGAAAAGGTGGTATTAATTACCTTATGAATCAATGAGCTCAAAAGTTGATGAGTTTATTATTAATATATCTTGATAACTAACTTGTAAGCAGGAAGAACCTCCAGCTTCTGCAGTATATGGGGAGAATCTGGTGTTCTCAGAAGAACGAACATAGCAGTCAGTGTGAAAAGCCAATGTGCAAGGATTCGTTGTTTTTAAATGCATTTCATTGTTTCAGAATTCTTTAGCAAATATGAAAGCATAACCTGCTTTTATACTACATTTTGGGGATTTTATGTCACTTTCTCTGTGGCTTCTTGTTCTGGATTTGCTAGCATACAGCTTAATGATAAATTAATAGTGAGGAGCCCACTGTGCAAAAAGTAGCCTCCACAGATGTGTCTAAAGAGTAGGTTATATTTCACCTTGATCTTATAGACTTCTTTCCTTTTTTTTCCTTTTTTTTTGTTTTTCTTCTTTATAATACAAACACAGCTCACATATTTTATACGATCTTTATCTGTATCTCGGGGCACTGTTCCTTATTCGTAGAAGGCCTTGAAGACCTGCAAGACCAAACAGAGAGGAAGATGGAAGGCAATGCAAAGTAGCATTTTTTACTGGCATGTTGTCAACTATATTAGTCTAAACACTGTTGATTTGTCATGTCACCAGATTTAAAGAAAAGCTGGAAGAAAAATAGTGAAGTTGCTGCAGATATTTGCAGATAGTTCTTCCAATTACTTTTGCTTGGGAAGAAGAAAAAGTTAAAGCTTGTTTGAAAAGTTGAAAAAGGTCCATTGTTTAGAAACAGGGAAAAGGGAATCCTTGTCGTGATGCTGAATGGTGGTGGTCTGAGGAGGCTGTGTTGTAAAAAGCCGTGTAAGTGAAGTGAAGTTAGCTCAATTGATATGAGAGGCAGTTGGAAGAAGTGAATTATAAAATGGTAAGATTTGGGGTCTATGAAAAGGACTTTGCTGCTGTGCTCTGAATGCCTGTGAGCAGAACGTGATTGCCATTTTCAAGGCAAAAGGCAGTGCTGTACTGACCAAGGCATGAGCTGTGTGCTTGGGTGAGTGCGATGGAAAGGTGTACTTCAGAGAGGAGGTACACATCCAGCACGACTGGGGGTAAGTAGTTCAGGAGAAACTAGAGAGATGTAGATCAGATGAGATGCTGGGCTATAGAAGAACAGTGGTGATGGCCTACAGTAGTCATGAAAGAGATATTTTAGGTATTTTGAGGAAGAGCTTTAAGAGCCCTGTTTGTTGTCAACAGACAGTTGGGATTTCACGGGAAGGTATTGTGCAACTTTGGACAGACAGTTTTCTCATTTCATCATTTGCTATGCTCTGTTTAGGACTTAGAGTTGTTTTCCATGAAAATGTCTCGTGGATAGGACTAAGACTGAAAGTTTTAACCAAGTTTCTTGTATGAAATATGTTGCTTTAAAAGTACCATTACACCAAAGATCTTTCAGCCAAAAGCAAGGCAAACTGCAACTGAGGATAGAAAGTTATCCACCTTATTGGCCTGTTGCCTCAGCAAGAGAATGGCTTTTCTGAAATCAGGTAGGAAAGAATACCTCTTAAATTTTCTCTGAAGCATTTTGAAGCTTAGATTTTCCAAACAACTTGTATGTATCCAATTTTAATAATATTCCTATTCACATTCAGTGGAATTGCAGTACTGAGGTATCCTTGGGTCAAATACTTGGATATATACTGAACAGCAAAGAGGCATTCACTTTGTGTTTCTAAATAATCCCTTTTGAAGTATAAAAGTATGCCAAATCTGCAAACAAAACTGAGAAACTAGAAAATGATGTTCATTGTTCTGTTATCTCAGCTCTCAATGTCATTTATGAGTACATAAGAACATGTTGTTGATTGAAATGGATTTTTGCTATTTCAGTTATGTAATTATGGGAATGCCCTTGAATTATGTCTTGCCAGCTAAAAACCCCTCCAACCTTTAAAAAAGCATCTTTTGTCAGCTGTGTGGCAGAAGGTAGAAAATACTAAATGAAAACTTGGATGCTAGTACAGTTCGTTCTGTAAAGCAAGTTATTAAAATATTTCTTTGTAACACCAATCTAAAAGCAAACCTTTCTTTTTCTTTCAGATGAATGTCTGTAGGTTACGCTTAACAGTACCACCTGATGAGGGCACACAGCCTGAACAGGGAGCAAAGGAACCTGACAGAAAGAAAAACGTAAGTTTTAAGAATCAAAGTTAAATTCTGTATAAACAAGGAGTAAATATTTCCATCCACAGAATCTGGTAATAGTTGTTCTGGGAGCCCAAAGCCCAGTCATCTTGGAAGACTGAAGAACATGTGGAAGCTGAGCAGGTCAGCTGTGAGCTTTGAGCCTGAGCCTTGGAGCTGGGGATAGCAAAACTGCATGTAAAATAGGACAGTAGTAGAGGAACAGCACAGAGATTGTAGGCGATTGTGACTGAGGTACCTTTAAGGCTTGATTATTTACTATTTATATGTTAAAAAGTAGGAAACTGCTACCATGAGCATGGTCTTGCATGAGACAGGATCATGTTCCTCACCTGAAGGGGATTTTATGTTTCAGGTAGGCTTAACAGCGTGCAAGATTTGAGCCTGAATGTGTGTGGAAGCTGGCTTGCCTGGGGCTTAGATGTTTTGCTGTGTTGGCCAATTTTTGTGACAGGTGATGTACTAATAAGAAATACAAAATAAAGAATTCAAGACTGTTCTGAAGTGAAAGTGATTTGAAGGTCATGTGCGTGGAAGGGTTCAGAAGGGCAGGTTTTTTGTAGAAGCGAGTAGCATGCACGCACACACAAAAATCTTACAGCTGCTTTGGTGCAGAACTAACTAAGAACTGTTTCGGAGCAATAGATGATGTTTAATTTGACGTAAGGATGGAGACTAAGACAGGAAGCTGGACAGGCTCCACAACTTTGTCACATTTACACTTCGATAAACCAAAATCAAAGAAGAATTTTTGTGATTCTGTGAAGAAGTTGGCTAAGTTACCAGACCAAGTGTCTGAACCGCAATATGACGATAGGAAGCAAAATAAAAATAGGATTTATTTGAAATAATTTTTTAGTGGTACTCTGAATCAAAAGTAACTGTAAAATTACTCAGAAAGACACACATTTTAAAGCAATAAAAATAAATGCAAAGTAAAACGGTCAAGATAAATATTCCTTATCTTGTGCTGGAATCTTGGATACACTCAGCTTTTCGTATACTGCTCTGGCAGGGTAATAGGTCCTTGAGCATCCATAAATGTTGCTTACAGAATGGATTAGAGAGGCCTTAATGCAAACTAAATTTGGGCCACAATCAAATAATAACAATTCATTTTGTACAGAGGTGTTTAGTTGTAGCTTCCCCCACCACGTACTCTGCAGTCTGTATCAGTTTGTGTCTGACTGCGAGCTGGCCTAAGCATAGGGGCCCATTGCCCTGAGAGCAAGGGAGGTTTGTTTTTGAGGAGGATAGCTATTGACTCATGGCTTACTCACTTTACTGTACTGAGTAGGGTAATAATAAGAAAGAAGCATGGATGATTAGGGCTTGGACAATTTGTACTGACTTTCTTATGTGACCAATTTTTTTTTCTCTGTGGGACCTTACGTTTAGTGAGCTGTATTTTCCCCATAATGCAAGTCAAGGCAAGTGGGGTTTATATCAGAGAGTGTTAAGGAGAGGATATGAAAAGCAATAAATACGTTATTTGGCTTATCTTGCATTCCAGTATGTATGTGACTTTTTAGTTGAGACCAAAAAAAATGGTAATTTAATTATTGTATGTTCTGAGCAGTTTACTAAAGTTCAGTACATTTACACAATTTTAAAGACTTTTAGAAAGCATACTTACAGCCTTCAGAGCTAGATGGCATCTAATTAGCCAATTTCATAGCAATTAAAAAACACAGAGTAATTGTGCCATCTACTTGTGTTTTCTGGTCTTTGTGTAATTAAAAAAATAGCCCTGCAGGTTGTACAGTCATAGTGTACAGAAACAGCTACCAAAAAAGTCACTGATCACGACCTGTTTTTTCCTCATGTCCTTAAAGCAAGACAATAATGTATTACCTGTAGATTTTTATTGTCTATGTAATGTATAGCTTTATGTATTTGAATTAGTTACACAGGAATTTACAGTGCACACAGGACTCTTGACTAGTCATGCCGTGATACTTTTCTCTTGCTGCAAAATTTAATTTAAAAAAGAAAAAAAAAAAAAATCATCTCCTCAAAGCAGTGATCAGGTGTCTCTGCTGATCCACCCATGTTCAACTGGCTCCATGTTGATGAAATGGCTTAAAGCACTTTGAGAATAACAGGTTTTACAAATGTTAGATAATCCTCGTGCAGTCCTACAAGAACTGTATCCCCTTGTTGGGAATAGGGATAATAGAGAAAAAATGAGGGAACTGCTCAGTTTTTCTGCCTTGCACTTTACAATTTAAGGTCAAAAAATACAGCTTCACCAAGAATCAAATTTAACAGCAGGTCTCTGGGAATCTAGAGTTCTGTGCTGTCTTTAAATGGTGAGTGTTAAGAAAATGGGAACATGGGAAATGTTTTTGGTATTTAAAATATATTAGAGTGATTTATGGAGGCGAACTGCAGGGGTAATCTGTAGGATTCCACATTTCTTGTCAGGGTGTTGAGGCAGTCTGAGCCTGGCTGCCAGGCACACTCCTGTTTGGGCAGGACAAGTGCTGAGAGAGACAGACTCTTCCCTGCCTCTGCCTGCTGCTGGTGAGGGAGGAGAGCAGAGACCTTGCTGTGTCAAAGGGAATGCCAGAAGCCTATAAATACACCATGGGGTGACATTTGGTTGCAATCTCCTCTTTCAAAGCTTTCATTAGAAGGAGGTGATTTTGAGTTGCCCTAATGTGACATAGTGGTGGCTTAGTGACTGTTGCTTGTATCTTTCTGGGGCTCAGCACCATTAAGAGATGCTTCAGTTGCAGCATCAGCTGGTGAACTGCACAGAAGCTCCTGCTAATGCTGATGCTCCAACAGCTTGTTTTGGAGCTTGATGTCAGATCAGAACTGATTCTTTATTGGTTATGTTAGCAGCTGTTAGCTTAACCTATTTCACTGTAGTCCAAGCGTAGCAGCAAATGTATGCTGTATTTCATGAAATCCGTATCAGTGCATGAAGTTTCTAGATTGACTTTTTTATTGCCATACATCCACTAAAGAAAAATGAACAATGTAAGAGATGAAAACAAAGCGATGGAGCTGTGCAGTTTTGTTGCAGCAAAATTGCTGCAGGCATTACTGTGCCGTGGTGGCCTCTTCCTGTCTCGTGTGAAAGGCTGGCAGATGGTACACGGTTAGAACTTGATCTCAAAAACTGGAGGGGGAGTGAGCTTGTGCTCCAGTGTGTCAGGTTGGATTTTTATATTCGCATTTAGGCTATGATACTGTGAAAGAAGCAGATGAGAACTGAAGTCACAAGTAGAGGCTGGTTGGTTGGTTGGTTTGCTTTTTACAGGCTAAAAGCCTACAGCTAACTATCTCTGAATTGTTAGTGCTTTAGGTAGAGAGAATCTGAAACTATCCTGACTTTGTTCCATTGCTTCTGTTAATGGTAGACAATGGGTGACAGTAGTGTGAGGCTGTTTACTTCACCGTGAAGTACAAAGGAATATTGTGCTCGTCAGATTGTATGCAAAGTCTGCATGTCCTGAAGCCTGCCTTGCCTTGCATAATAAAGGGCTACCAGACAATTGTATTGTCCCTGTTTGGGATTGGGCTTATTTTTATCCATCAGTCCCTTTCTTCTCTGTCACGGCTAAATTTGGACGTGTCATTGGAAGCTGCAGCTAGGCGTTTGAGAGCAGAGTATGGGATACGTATAGGCAGATTTTCCTTTTTCATTTGGGCATATGGACAAGAGAATGAAAATCAGATAACACTTTAGAAATTTGTGTCACTCTCCTGTCTTTGTGGCTTTCAACAGAGTTTAGTCTTAAACTCTAGTTGGTGCTTTGGCTGTATATATCCTCCAACTCTTTAATTTTCTTATGTTTTTAAAGCATCACAACCAAGAGGTGAAACTGCTTTTGCTTCCTAAGCAGGAATACTGAAGCATAGCAAATGTTATTTTTCCCCACCAAAAAAAGTAGGCTGTAAAGAAGCCAGAAGGGGAATTTGCTCCTGTATGTGATGAAGAGAATCAAGCAGAAACTTGTCAGGCCTTCACCAAAGAGTATGAGTGTCATGAACATGGGGCTGTTGTGCACATTAAATCTAGGACAGTGCCGGTTTTCTCTGCTGATCTGCTGCTGCCAGCCCACTCCCATCAGCACAGCAGAAGTTGTGTCATAAAAATGGTAGTTCACCTGCTACAGGTGGCTGATGTTACTGTTTCTCTGCCTCTCCAGCACAGATTGCTTGATTTATTTTTTTTTTTTTTGATGTGTACTAATTAAGTGACACCTTCATTAAAAACAGCACTACATGAAACCGCAGAAAGATTTCCACTGGCTTCTGTGGTTGCTGCTGTGTTTGTTGCATCTTATTTTCTTAGTGTATAAACGTTGGTATTCTGTGTACGGATTTCATTGATTAGATACGACTTTCTATAGTACCTGTCACTTCTGCTTTTTGAGATAGGCACCTAAATTCTACGTTTCAAGGAGCTTAAAGGTTGGAATGTGTTAAATGATGCTTCTTATTTAGCGTCATGAATTTAAGGCCATTCATGCCTATGTCTTGGCATATTTTGCCTATTTTAATATAATTTATATATGAAACATCCCTAAATGTAACATGAGTTTCATGGGATGTAGATGAGTATGAAAAAACCCGCAAACATAGCTGCCTTTTGTCAGAGCACAGTAGCTTCCCTTGGTAAGCTCAGTATTATAAATTTCTCATTTTACAGAACAGAAAATATGTAAGCTAAGTAATAATGCGAGTGTTCCTGTTCCTTGTATAACTAGTGAACAAGCAAAAGATAAGTGGATATTTTGGAAGCTTCTGGATTGGGGGAGTTGAGGAAAAGTTCAAGTCTCGCTTAACTGATACAATTCTGGTCGAAAGAAGAGTGTTTAGATTGTGTAAGTAAAGAGAAGATCATGATTTAGCAAAATTCTAAGGCCATATGAGTGCTAATCCCAGAATTGTGCTAATCGTTACATTGGATGTCCTTTTCCCTCAGAGTAAGATATCTCTTCTGTGCTTCTGCTTCCAATTTTGGGTCAGGGAGAAAGTATAAAGTATGGGGGTATCTGACTTGCATTTCAAAAACCAATGGAGATAGGTTAGGAAGCAAATCATCCCTCAGTGTTATTTCCGTAATGCAGATAAACCCATGGGCAATAGAAAAAGCAGCTAACAACTCCTATTTAGGGTTTGTTTTTATAGTGTCCTTGCTTCACTGTCTTCATGCTACTTATGCTACTTCCTTGGACAGAGACATAAACAGGATACATGGCAATTATCAAAACTTTTGCAATCTTGGGGTGTAGGCTTCTGTTTTAAATATTTATTAATCAAGTAAACACAGTCTCTGTTTCTTCAGTACATGCTGTGTGATCACACCAGGTGCATTATGCTTGTTGCTGCAACACAGACAGAGCGTGTTCCTGGAAGCTGCTATAGTATTCATGTTCATCAACGTGATGCGTTCTTGCTGTTGCCTTGGACTGTCATATAACTGACTATAGGTACAAAGAAATACTCACAAATTGCTTAAGCTAAGTCCGCCTTTTCAGACCAGCAGCTCAAATCAGAAGGGATTTTGGGCACAATTTGGGACAACAACTGCACTTGTTCCAGTGCAGCAAATGCCCAGGCAGGTGGGGAGCGAGGGCTTCCCTCTACTCTGGAACTGGCTGATATTTTTTACCTTAAACAGCAATGGTTAAAGTTAAGTTAGCTTTACCATGTTTACTTATTCTGTTATCGTCACTGAGATGCCTTACTGCAGATCAGAGTGGAGACAGGCGAGGACCTTCTCAGAAAAATATCTGAGTTCTGAGAGTGAATATGTATGGGGCATAGAGAAAAGCAAATGAAAGTATTTGACTTAAAATAATTCTGTAGTCCTTGGGAATGTGGAAAATCTGGGATTTGTGGAAGAGGAAACGGGGGAGAGAAGATGTGACAGAGGAAGAACAGAGGACAAGGCAGAAAAGAAAAAAACACTGAAGGGAGAAAAATAAACAAAGCTGGGTGGAAGTAGCATCAGAGAGGAGACCAACTGCCATAAAATACTCCTGATGCATATTTAGCGATGGAGTTCTGTGGAGGAGTTTGAGAACTGAGCCGTTCAGCAAGGCCTCCTTTAGAGGCAAAGGTGTGTTTAAAAATTAGTCAACAAGCAAAGCAACTTATCCACCTCTCAAACCCTGCTTTGAGAAACGTTTTCTGACTGTAGCCCTTCCTCTAAGAGGAGACTTTATCAGGTTAGCCTTTTTTTGTCAGGGCATATGCTGAACCCTGAAACAAGTGGTCATTGAGTGGGAATTAAGAGTTACCAGCCAGAGAAAAGGGGGAATAGAAGGTAAGTGTAGCTGGAATGGAGCAGCAAGGAAAAAGAAATATGAGCGCGGTTATTTGTACAGCTGTTGGTTCACACAGCTGTGAATTGAGCAAGAACTGTACTGAAATTTTAACAGGTGCTTGCCTGGGGATTGGGATACGAAGGAGGAATAAGGAGGGGGTGAAAGCAGTGCCCTATGTATTAAGTAGCACATAGTAGAACTGGAACACTCAACAGGTCCTTTTAATCACCTGAAGGAGAAATGACGAAGGCATCTTGGGAGGCTTGTGCAAGTCTAAACAACAGGCAAGTTTAGCGTTGTTGCAAGAGACATATGACCCGCCTGGCTTTGTGCATACTTCATCCTGCATGTACTGCCCATTGTGATGTAAATTGAAGTCTGTTTGGCTGCGAGAGAGGTGAGTGCCCTGGGTGACTCTCCAGCTGTGAACCCACTGGTCTGAATTTGTAGGTCTTTCTTAGAGGGCTAAAAAAACCCTTCGAAGCATTCCTTAGGAATGTGTTTATAATATTCTGAAAATAAGGAACTTGGTCATAATTTTCATACAGAACTCTGCAAACAGCCCTTTAAACAATTCTGCTAATGTTTTGAAGCACAAAGGATCTTGGTAGTTGTTGGTGTTCAGCTGTTCCCCTCATAAAAAATGAATGATCATGGGTAAAGGGTATGGATTTATGAATACAGTATCTGGCGCCTTAGTAACCTCCTAAACAATCAAAGTGATTATTCATTTGGTTACCAGGAAGATGGAAACTTGTATGTAATCCCTTTATTCAGATGCAGGGGAGGAGCTGTGATGAAACTACCAAAGAAACTGTACAACCCTGGAAGCAAACACACACAAAGAAGTTTTGAGTCATGTCCCCATCTAGTTTCTGTATTTTCTCTACTCTCAAAAAATTGGGTGCGGGTTTTTTGTTCGTATGCCTCCAAACAGCAAAACAAAAAAGCCAAGAATACGTAATTCTGAAACTTTGATTATTAGGATATGAAGCTTTGCATACGATGTTTTCAAAGTGCAAAATGTTATCATGTACAGGTAGGGCTGTTCCCCAATGTTTTGGAAACACACAGAGACCCCCCCACCCCCCACCCCCCCAAGCTTTAGTGAAATAGTTAAGCTATTAATGATACGGTAAAGGAAAATGTGTAGGATTTACAGCGTTGAGAAAATCTGTTAGTGCCATGTGAGAGGGACACAATATGAAATGAATGTCTATCTTAAACCATTCTTCTTAATGCAAGTAGATTTTCTTGTTCATTTTTCCCTTACCCAAAGAAGAATTCATTCTTACCTTGCCACCATAGTTGTGTTAGTTTGGCTGCTAAAAACTGCAAGTGCTACTGCTTTAGGCTGCAGATGCTGTCATCACTGTCTGTCACCATAAGGACTGGAGACTTTCTAAGATGCAGCTGCAGATGGATCTAAGATGCTGAGCTTAATCTCTTCCAGCCTCTGTTTGATGTCAAAGAGAGTCTTTAGATACTGCTTAGACTCTTAATTTAGTAAAGAATCTCAAAGTTTGTCCATTTTCATACAGTGTTATCACTGAACAACAAAACCAAACATATTCTAAGGTCAATATAGTAAATATTCTCCAATATACCCGTATCCTGGTATATATCTAGCGTGAGAAAGAAGTTTGGTAAAATTACTTATAATTGATTGTCCCCAGCACTGGCCTTTCAAAACCAACATGCAAATCTAAGCAGTAACAGCTGTGTTTCTAAGATTGTGTCTCTCCAACTTTCTATTCAGAAATAATCAACTAATTTTAGGTTCCTAGTTTGCAAATATTCAAAGTTATGTAAGAATATTTTGTTCCCTTCTTTTTAAAAATCATAACATGGATGTCTTCATCTAAACTGGTTGTTTAAATTCTTTGTAATCAAGAAGATAAATTAGTACTTCTGTAGACTGACTCATTTCAGATGATTGCTGCAGAAAGACATTTCTCTGGGTTGATTAGAAGGGAGGCTAGGTGAGTAGTCAGGTCAGGTGGTTACATCTGACCTTGCAGATATTTATTTGCATGCTGAGGGAAATTATTCTGACTGTTGGCATGAATACTTTTCTTATTAAGTGTATTGACGAGATGAATAAGAGGAGTCTGTTGCAAAGAGTGCCTTAAAGTAAAACACACAATTATTACGTTTTATATATATCTGCAGATCATTAAAATAACAAATGTAGGCACTTTGAAACAGCCTTTCTATTTACCTGACAAGACCTGATTTCAAAGTTTTATCCTCCTGCAATAGTTAGTAACACTGGAACACCCACATGCATGCTGATTCATAGCTTGCTTTGGTTCTTACAATGTCAGTTCTACAACTTTTATAAGACAAATGCAGCCCTGAAATGAATGTTTGATTGCTTTGGAAATCCTTAGTTAGCTTTCAATACAAACTGAAATTCTGCTTTGCTTATCTGCAAGATTAGCAGATATTTTCTGAGCTCTGTTTTAAGTAACCTTGCCTAAAATGTTTTAATTTCAGTTTCTTCTGAGAACTTTCTAAAATTTTTGATTAAACTTGTGAATTTTTGTATTCCAGCAGCGGGGAGTTTGGGGAGTGAGCAGCAATTCTGCAGTTGCAAGAGTTTAAAAGGAACTTTAAGAGCTGACAATGCTCTGGAAGAATGCAGAAAAGTAGCATATGTTGGTGAATGAAAATAAGCCAGGATAACTTTTTCTCTTACAGGCCTCTACCTCTCCTTGCACAAATCCAGTCTATTGTCTCCAGCTGTACCTATGTCACTTCCATTAAAGCCAGTGGAAATTAGACATCTCTGTCAGCTCTTGCAATTATAAACTGGTCAGTGATGTTCCCCAAACCATGAAGGTTGACAGTTTGGCCCCAAGACATTTAGGAACTAGTGTTCTTGGGTACTGTTGTGTTTTCACTATAGTTGGCTGTCTCTCTTGGCCCTGTGTTACTGTATTTTGGTTTGCTGTTTTTTATTCTAGTACTGATTTATAAATAACATTTTTATTTTTTTACTTTTAAGGAGCTCTACCAGGTACCAAATGGCATGTCTCCAGGGAAGCTCTCCCATGGGATGGTGTATGGCGTTGTGCACCGAACTGACAACAACCATAAGAAAGAAATGGTGGTTTATGGCTGGTCAGCTGATCAGCTGAAAGAGGAGATGAATTACATTAAAGAAGTGAGTTATGCTTTCAAGCTTCAAAATTTATCAAATACCCTTTCCGTATATTCTTGTAGAGCTGTGAGTGTATATGGGATGACTGATGTCTAGCCCAACACCCGAATTGGAATAGGTAACCTCCTCTGAAGTTAAAGGCTTGCCTTGGTAGGATTCCAGTTGGGAAAAAATGCGTGCTCTTTACCTGGGAACTGTGTGGTCCAGACTCGGGGCCTCTGTGCCGAGTGATACTTGTTAATGCATGCTGACTGGGCTACAGCTGGGCAAGCAGAGTGCCAAACAGGGTTCCTGTCCTGAAGCCTTCGTCCTTTCAAATGGGATACAGAAGAAACTATGTGAGGAGACACTGTAAAGGAGAAACTCTCTCCTCTCTTCCTCAGCTTGCCCTGTCCCCAAACCCCTCAGTTCTGAAAAGGCTCCTAAATTAGGTCACATAGTAAAATCACTTGGCTGTATTTTGGGGCAGCATTAAAATAGTCAGCCTAGTAAGAATGACTTTGTACTACTTTCTCTGTGCATGCTCATTTATCGTAATTAGCAGAACCTCTCCTGAAAGCAAAAAAAAATGCATTTCTGATGCTGCTGGTTTCTGTGCTTGAAACTCAGCAGCTCTTTGCCTGTTAGTCCTTGGCTCTCAGGCTTTGGCAATAACCCCCTAGTTAGACTAGGGCAAATAATTTGACCTTCTCTTTCCATCCACCTTCCCTACCCAGGAAGCTATTGGTCAATGGTTATCGTTACTCAAGTGCAAACTGAGTTGATATCAAAGGGAGGAACACTGAGTCAAGCCAGCAGTGTAAGAGACTGTAATGGTGTGTGCTCTTAACATCTGCCTGGTCTCTAGCTGTCCCCACTTGCTCCTCTCTTTTATTCCTCACAGTTTGTTAGCTCCTGTACTCACCACTCACGGTCAGGGTATGTCACTACTGCAGGGCAGGCAAGGGGTATGAGCTGCCTGGGCTGCTGGTTTCCTACCCATAGTTTATCTGCCCTGCTGGAGTGGTGTCAGGTGATGGGTGAACTGGCACGGGGCAGGGCTGGCTCCTGGGCTGCGCTGTTTCTGGTACCTGGCACAGATTGCTTCGACCGGGACCATCTCCCTGCCCTTTTCTGTTCACAGCCGGCTTGTGGCATGGAAGGACATGTCAACCAGGTGAACTGCATGTCTTGCATGGGTGTTCAGGGTACTGATCCTTTCAGGAAAAAGTGGGGAAGACGTGGGAAGAGATGTCCTGGCCCTTATTCTCCCGTCTTGTGGAAGCTGTGTTCAGCTATGCAAATTTGTGAACTTTAGTCTGCCAGATAAGTTTCGTCTTTAAAAGTAGAGTCTTAAACAGGAGTCCTCAGCTTATGCCACGTGTGTGCTGACTTAAATAGAAAAAAAATGATGGGCCACGTCAGAACTGCTGACTGTTTCCTCTGTCTGTATCTGAGTCAAATTCGCACCTTGCAGGAGGGGGTGTGCGTGTGCATGTGTGTATGTGTGGGTAGGGATGGGGAGAGGGGTGCTTTCCCGAGGTGAAGAGCAGGAGTCAGCTGCCTCCTTTGTTTCTCATCCTAAAGGGAGCATGTAGTTTGGGGTAGGTTTGTGCCCACTTGGCATAGATTTGGTGGCTAATGCCCCTCTTCCTGGGAGGAGTGGGTATACTGGAGAGCTGCTAGAAACGTCCCCTCTTCTGTACGGCCCTACTGGTGTTTTGTCTTCGCTCCTTCCCCAAGCCTATGCAGAGATGAGGTGAACACTCTGCCCTGGATTATCTGCAACCAGTCTGTGTTTGATAGAGCTGAGGGGGGTGGAAGAAGGAGTTTGAATGACGTAGCTGGAAGGCGGACTGTAGACAAACATTTAACTAGTGTTTACAACGTGTGCTCTTGAGAAGGTTGGTTCTGTGCATGATTGCAATGGCATGTACACCCAAGCTGCCTTACAGCATGCTTTTTTTAAATTTTTTTAGAAAGGCAAGGTATAATTTACATCCATAGTTCTTAAATAAAATTGAGTTCTCTGTTCTTCAGATCTGAAATTGCATTGGTAAATTTATGCTAATATCTTGATTAGCTAGATACAAGCCTAAAAGTCCAAAATTAAAGGGTTTATCTTCAAAGGATACTCAGGGAAAACTAATTAACCACTTTAAAAAGTATGAAGGTGTATTAAACCCATGTGTGGATGCTTTTTTTCTGAAAGAAAACATTATATGCTCAAATTAATTTTAATTCCTTTAGTAATCAGGTTAGAATGAGTTATGGATAATTTAACTGAAATTCATTATTTAAATTATTAATTTACAAGTGTTTAAATGTGTACAGACAAGTTTAGAATTACTCAGAGACGTTTATTTGTATAATCTCTACGTAGAGAAGTCTTGAGACTTAAGTTTTTGTCGTCTTCTTAAGAGTAAATTACTGCTGATGAAAAGGTAGATGAATAACGGAAGTTACTGAAAGTAACAATTGAAGACGTAGGAAAAAAAATCATGTCCTAGTATAAATACTATCATCAATAATTTTAACAAAGGTATTTGATTTTTTTCTGACACCAGGTGAGAGCAACTCTGGAAAAAGTAAGAAAGAAAATGTATGGTGAATACGATGAAATGAAACGAAAAATACAGCAGCTTACAAATGAACTGAAAGTAAGTGTACATTTTAGGGAAAGCATAGGAGAATGACTGTCCTGGTGTTACCTAGAAACTTTTTTTTTGCTTCAGCAGAACAGAAATAATTTCTCAGACCACTTTAGTTCATTATTTTATGTGACATCTATACTTTTATTTCTTTATTTTTCCCTCCAGGAAGGTAAAGTAGGACAGGGATACTTTTGCATGTGGAATTACTAATTGTCTGCTTCTTGGAAATAAAAGAATGATCTTGATAGCATTATCTCTGTGTATTGGTAATTAGTGGAGTTTTTGTACCAGTAAGCTTCCAGGTGAACTGAATAACTAACTTACATAATTAAGAGTAATGTGCAACTTAGTTGGCGTCATTTTAACAGACTTTGCTCTGTTTACTGACTTTACTGTTCAGACATTATAGTAAAAGAAGTAGCAGTATTCTTTAGTCTTAAAGTGCTTGACAGCTCTAAAAATTACTTACCTTTTGGTTAAGTGAACTTTTCAGTGGTCATTTGATGACCTCTCTTTCTTCTGACATGCTGCTTTAGCAATAAAAGCTGCTGCATCTGTAGAAGTATCCTTCATATTAAACTGCTGAGTTCTGTGGTCCAAAATGTCTCCTGAAAACTTGCTGTGGATTTTGTATTCAACATTGATTTTTACAGCCCTGGTTCAGATGAAGCTTTGGCAGTTAAGCATCTTCTGACTTCAAGGGACTGGGACCCTGACTTGTGCCCTTCGGCCATCCTCACTTGGAGGCTGTATTATGTATAAAGATCAGAACTTGCTGTTAAACTGGTACTTTTATTCTGTGGCCACTAGTCTCAAAAATATCAACAACAAAAAAATCACTGTAACTTGAGAGGAGGAGGGAGAGAAAGCTGAATTTCTGTAAACTGTGTTAAATAGTCTTAATGATGCCGAGGTAAGTTGCCCACGCAGTATGCATGTAGGCAAATGCTGATTCAGGCTCAGTTTTGTTGTGTTTGCTGCTGATCCTTACTGGATAGTAGAAGTGATAACCTGCACTTCCAGATCTTCCATCAAACCAGTAGAAATCCCGCTCAGTCTGAACATGTCTCTTAGTTAAGGGTTTCTGACCAGCTCTGGCAGTTTATGAAGCACTCCTTCTGACAGAAATGGCACATTACGAGACACCCTCCCCCTTTTTTTAATACTCTAGACTGCCTGTAAGAGAGCACACATGTCGTTCTGCCTAATAATGTACGCTTGTTTTGGTTGGTTGGCTGGTTTTTCATTTTGGTTTTACATGACTGCCATCTTTCACGCTGTTAGGGGATCCTGTTTAAAATCCTTTATACACTCTTCGCTTCAGCTTGGAATCACTGTGCCTTTTTCCTATCAATTTCCAGGACTACTTTTTGTTCATAAAGTTTGTTTGAAATTTGTACTTCCAATATCCTGCCCTGGGCGGTATGCTTCTTCACACAAGTTCTTATCTTGTAACTTTCTTAATCCATCCAAAGCATTTCTGCTTTTGTTTGTTTGTTTGTTTTTACATAAGCAGATGTGTATATAGGGTTAACAGTAACTACTTGGCTTCTGTTCCCTTAGCTGGCCTAATCTGTGTGTGTCTTGGTTACTAAACGCTCATTGTTCTCCATATCAGTCCCTAGTGTTCTTACGTTTTTATCAAGAAACAAATCTGGTCCATATAAAAATGTGAGTTGGGCTGGCCTTCATTAATAACATTTTATTGCTCTTTATTATTGGATGGTTCATAATTATTTACACTGTTTGGGTTTTGGTCTCTTCTTAAATGATGTCATTTTGCGCCTTCTTTTTTTTTTTCCCCCTCCAGTTTTTAAGTGTGTGTTTGTATGTAACAGATGATGAATTTTCACACAAAAAAGCTCTCTACAGACTTCTCCTACCTGCTTTGTAATGTTTCATCCTTAAGTCTTCTTGATGTTGTTTCTTTACGGACCTGATGAGTCAGTTTCTTCTTAATTAAGGCTATTATTCTACAGTTCACCCAAACCTAGATTTCCTTGGTTCTTGCATTCTTCTGCATTTCACTCTGTGACTTTGTACAAGCTGCCCACTCTGTGTATACAAACTTTCTGAATAGACATCTGCCAACTGTCGTCTTGTCCTTTCAAAATAACAGCTTTTACAGGGATTACAGCCTAGCAATAAAGATAGATACTTTTGCCTTATTTCTATTAGTATATTTGGATTCTAAGTTTTGTTTGTTTGTTTCTGAGGTGCAAGAATATGGTTTGAGGCCTGTGTATTTTAAGCATCCTAGCACTGTGAAAATTAACCATGGGGTCCTTCTCTTCTGTGGCTCCCTTTGAAAGAATAGGTAAACTTGATCATTATTCAATATAAAACTTTTTTTTTTTTTCCTGCTCAGGTGACAAATGCTCATCAGGAATCCTTAGAGAATCATGTGCGAGTGCAGGCTGCAGCCTTAGATAGCTTTAGTGAAATGAACAGCTCCTTGACATCAGCATCAATAGACTTGCAGGTACATTTTAATAGCTGTTTCACAGCTGACAACTGCCTTTTCTCACTTGGATTTAAAAGCATACATAAAACATGGATGATGAATACAGATTCTAACACTAAACAAGCCCATAAAGTACTGTCTTGGATATCTAAGGCAGTTAATTTAGGCAACTAAGAAAAAAAAAAAAATCCAACACCTGTGTTTTTAAAAAACCTGTTAAAAAAGTGTACAATAAAGAGATACTGATCTGCCGCAGACTAATGCCACTAGTCATGTCTCTACAAAATATCTAAGGTGAAAATGGGATTTGTTCTGTATTGTGCAAAACTACATCTCCTGACTTATTCCTGCCTTCGCTGGTTAACAGAAATGGAAGTGGCATGTTTGGATGCTAAACACTTTGAGACTTTACATACCTGTGAAATGTAGGGGGAGGGAGAAGGTGGGAATGAATTTTCTGTTTTAAAGACTTCCAAATTCCCATGTATCTGAGCTGAACAACTTAATGTTACTGCTTTCTTGTGTGTCACAGTTTTTCTCAGTCTTGTGCATTTAATTTCTAAAGCACGGCCCTTGGAGAGAAGAAGGGAAGATTTTTGGAAGTAGCATTCCTACTGAAATCTATCCATGTTCCTTTCTGTTTTTTTTTTTTTTTTATAGTGTTTCAGGACTTAGTTTCTTCATGGAAATATCTTATGGCAAACTAAATACAACAAAAGCCATCATGTTAAATGTTAAAACTTGCAAAACTGTTCACACTGCATTGATACGTCAGGAAACTCTTAAATGTTCTGTCTGTTCCATAATCTCTTGACTATATTAGTTCACCAAATTATTTGTGATTTTTAATATTGGTTTGCCTCTTTCTTCTAGAAAACTCTAGTGGATGTTACATTGGAGAACACAGATATAAGGGAACAGATAAGGAATTTAAAACATACGCATGAGCAGTCTATGGAAAAGCTGAGAGAGAAGCAAAAGCAACTGGAAACAGCACAAATTGAAAATCAGTTACTGAAATTAAAGGTGAGGTATATAAACTCCCCTAAAATATTGCACAGTAAGGGCATTACGAGTGTGTTAAATGAATTCCTTGGCCTTATTTGTAATGGGTTCTTCATTCTTCATGCCCTCATCATTCCCTACAGCTGACATATTTCTGTGAATCAATGCTGGTTTAATAACAAAGAATGGCAGCTGGCAGCAGTCGGTCCTTCGGTAACATGGGGTGACCATTCAGGGATTTTGGCAGGTGAAAATTCAAACCATGAAATAGTTATTAGTGTCCATTGCTGTAAGTAAAGGAATATTTACACAGTGCTATAAGTATTTCTTGATGTTGAATTTGTTTATTGGGTATTGCACAATTTTTAATAGATAATCTGTTAAGACTTATGAGCATGAGGTCAGCAGGTATGTGCTGTAACAGCAAGTGTCTTGGAAAGAGAATTAAGCTGTTTCTTTCAGAGAAACGCAAGGGACTAAAACACAAACTGGAAGGTTTTGTATGCTAGAAAGTTTGACCATTTTCTCCTCATCTGCCAAATGTATTCCTTTAATCTCATTTAAAACAGAACAAACCACAACCGACCTCTTCCAGAAACCTTAGTGTCTCTTAAAATTGTTCAAAATAGACTGATTTGGATATGGTACTGTATCAGAATTTGTCACTGTGAAATTAGGTGACTGCTGGTTTATTCATGGTTGATTTTGTCAGAGATGGTGTTTCTTTTTGGCTCTTTAGTGACTTGCTTCATGCTTAATGATGAATGGTTAAAAAAGAAAACATTAACAAAAGTCTATTTCATCTTACAATTCATGTTCTAGTTTCCTCTCATAGTGAAGCTTTACAGGCTATAAAAGTAGCTGTATTTTGTACCTGCT